GTGTGTGTGTGTGTGTGTGTGTGTGTGTGTGTGTGTGTGTGTGTGTGGGTTCAGAGGAGCTTCGTCAGCTGCTGACCCATAATGAGCTCCAGATCAGAGCCATTCAGACTCTGTGGGAACAACACCTGCAGGAGGCGCTGAAGGACTGGGAGCAACAGTATGCTAATATCACACAGGTGCGCACACAGACACACACAAACATTCAAATACACAATCTCATGCACTTTCGTAGTTTCCGATGAGCTTCGGAAAAGGCATGAGCACAGAATGTAAATGCACTTGGTGAAGGTATTGTGTAGAAATACATCTTTGTACATGTACTAAGAGAATATTTTTAAGCCGTCCCTCTCCCTCACTCTCAGGAGAGGAGGATGATGCAGATGCATCCCTACATCCTGAACATCAATGAGGACGCTCAGCTGTCGGGAGTGGTCAAGCTTTTCATTCAGGAGGGTAACTCTGCCTCCCTCTTTATATTGTGATACATGTCTCACTCTCTAGTTCAGTACATCTTGTAGAGGTATTGAGAATGGAGAATGCTACAGTAGGCTAGAGAGTTGAATGTCAAACGTCACAGAGCACCTTGTCATACAGTTATTAGCGTGTTTATTACCACTCCTTAATACTGTTTAGTGTTCCAGGTGATTGGGACATCGGCCTGTGTGACTCTTCCCCAAGATCCATCTCTATCAAGGGCTTAGGGTGAGTTTACATCACATCAAGATAACATCAGTAGAACATCACAAACCCAGCGCAAGCAAAGTGAGATTTGAGACACTCAACAGTCCATACATGATGTCTAATAGTGGAAGTGAATGATGTTATAGATTAGTCATCTGTTTTTCTACCTTGCTGGTAGAAGCAATTTAATAAATGAATATGTACACTAGTGTCTTTTTTGCAACTTTATGTTCCCACACACGCATCTATGTTTGCACATGTAAGTGGGTTTTTGTGTGTCAGGATCCAGGAGCGTCATGCTGTGTTCAGGAATGAACAGCGCCGGGTAACACTGACCCCACTGGCAGGATCTAAGGTCATCATCAACGGCAACGCTGTTTTCCAGGCTGAAACTGAGCTGCAGCACCTGGTGGGTGTCAGCACATACACAGACTTTATGATATGACTATGTGACATGCATACACACACACACGCATACACAACTTTTGTCTCTCTTCTGTTATAAAAAATGTCATAAAAAAGTCCTAGTGTAGTATTTCATAAATATATCAAAAACATATTATGGTATAGTATGTCATTACAAAACCTCATAGTATAGTAAGTCATAAAAGTGTAAAAAAAAATAGCCTAGTGTAGTGTGTCAAAAATATTATATAAAATACCATTGTTTAGTATAAAAATGTCATACATATGTCATAGTATTGTATACAATATACTATGGTATGTATGTTATAACAATGTCTCTTTTTCTGTCTCCCTCTAGGACCGTCTCATTCTCGGCTCCAACTGTACATATCTGTTCGTCGGTTATCCCTCTGAGAGAGGCGGCGATGACTGGAGCCGCTATGACTACGACTACTTCCAGTCTGAACTGGCAGCTGCTGAGGGCATCCACCTGGGTAAGCAGGAGGATCAATAGCTGGAAGTAGTGGAGGTTTATCTTTTGAAAGGACACTTTTTAGATATTATCTATGTATCTGTGTTAAGGCGAGTCAAGTGCTGAGTCCAGTCAAACAGACCCCAGTCTGCTGGCCGTCTTCTACGACTACATTAAACTGATGCCCATGGTGGCTGAGGCCAACCAGATGAGCCAGGAACTAAACAAGGTAACACAAACAGATGCAGCTTGTTTTTAAGGCACTGATTCTGGTTGGTTAATAACTTCCTACTGGAGGCAGTTATGTTTGTAAATCAAAATATATGTATATTTTTTTGTTTTCATGGTCTCATGTGGTCACCGTTATGTATTAACAATTAATAAACGCCTACTCTTTGTCATCTGCCATGCTTGTAGGGGGTGCAGTTTAAGTTGGAGATCAAGAATCTGGCATTGTCTGACTCAAAAGGCCACGATCTGCAGAAAGAGATTGTTGTCAGAGTCACCTCTTTGGGAAGAAAACAGGTTGGTGTATTTCTCTTTCTGTATTGTTTCTTTCTATCACGTAAACTAGTTCATGAGCTCTTTTGTAATTCCAATTTCAATCGAGGTTTGAGATCAGGTCATGAATTTTTGTTTCTTTGTCTAAACTATTTTCACACTCCGTCCCTAGGTATGGATGTGGTCCAAGGCCAAGTTTGTTAACCGTAAATTCCTGATGGAAGAAGCCTACCAGCAGCATCAGGTTGAGAAGAGCGGAGACAATGTAATTCAATAGAGAGAACGTTGTAGTGACTAATTACAAATCAGTAAACTGTAAACAAAACGTCTTCGTAAAAATGGCAAAAAAGGCCATTGCCATGTAGCTGCATATGGGTTTTCCAGAAGTGTTTTATGTATTTATATTTTTAGCAATTCTGCTTGAAATCCAGTAATATGTTAATAGAGTAAAATAAGTGAAAGGGGCAGTGGAGGAGACAACTCCATAACCATGGAGAGATTTATCTGACAGTGCTTTAATGTTGAAAAGGATTGCAGCTTGATAAAATGGTAGCCTGACTTTTCTAAAATACTGTCCACACAGTCAATGTTAGCTAGCTTTATCATTAACAGTTTTTAATTTTAGAGCAATAACTCTGTATTTCATCTGTCTTTGGTTCTTGCTGTCAGAGAGTAGAGGGGCTGTCTACAGCTGCGTTACCCAGAGATAAAGACCCTTTCTGGGATCCTGTGGAGCCTGTGCTTCTGGGTACTGCTCACCTCTGGCTTCAGTCTTTGGCCTTCCGCATCCCTCTGGAAGAGCAACTTGAGGTACACTGCATACATAACACACATCCGTCAGTATTGTCAGATGGTATTATAGGGCAGCACAGAGTCATATTTGGTTGATAATCTCTGTCGGCAGGTCCTGGGGTCAGAGGGCACAGAGGAGGCCATTCTACAAGCACAGCTGGTCCCCTGCACCTCCACTGGACTGTATGACGCACACACACACACACACACACACACACTGTGTATAATAATAATAAACACATTGAGATATATTAGCAAATAATCTTTCTCACCTTCCAGCCCTATGGGTGAGGATGACATTCTGATTGACCCGTCTGAGTTACTGGGTCGTCGACTGGACTTCCAGCTGGTCCTGGAACAGTGTTGTGGCCTCCGCTGGATCAGAGAGGCCCGCAACAGAGGGGTCCAAATTGGGTGAGCCATATGGGGCTACATGTAGCGGCATGGAAGGCACTGAAGAGAGTTTGAATTACAGGAAGGATACAGAGAATTTGTGAATGGTACTTGAATATCCAGGTACATTAGGTTGGACATGTGCCGTTTTCAATGGCGCAATGATTGAAAATAAAGTGTGATGATAGAAACAGGAAATATAAATGTCCTCTGGATTTAATACAGCCAGAATTGAGACACTGCTCTATGCTTTTCCCTCTTTCTCAGTTTCAGTTTATTTAACTGCAGCCAGCCTCTCTACTCTCCGGCTGTGTGGCACAACGTCAATCCTCTGTTGGATCACAGGGTTCATTTCGCCTCCCTCCACACCTCCAAACGTCTGTTAGACTACCTGCAGAGCAGCGCTGTGGTGCTGGAGCTCTGGGGCCTTCAAGGTGAGGATGAAGAGATAGATGGATGGTTGGGCAAGACTCTCCATATTTTTCATTTAAGTAAATATTTAATACAACAGGTGCATGTACAACAAATATGTTATATAGAAGTATAAAGTACACAGTTATGAATGCCTTATTTCACAGCCCAAAATGAAAGCAATCCTTAATGCCTCCCTCAGACACGCAGAGATGAGTTAGAGTGGGATGAAATTGAATTATTTCCCTTTCCACATCGATGTTCATCTCACACCCTAGTTAGAAACATTTCCTGTTATTACTGTGTTACTATACATGTACAATAGACCAAATACAACAGTCAGAGGTATCACTAAAGCTGCTGATATTGCTGGTATCTGTTCCAGAGGGTTGTACTGACCTGATATCATCTCTGGAGGGAGTGAGGATGACTACAGAGGGCATCTTTATCATCGAGGAGGCAGGCCCAACAGACGCCACAGTGAGTTTGATGTTGAGTCCGTATTCCTGCGTCAGGAACGATTTTTTTTTACTTTGACGTGTTTTTAAAGCTGGGTGAGACCCTAACAAATATTCAAAACTATGAAAGCGATACGTGTGCAACCTAATACATTATGCTTCTAGATTCTAGAGAAATTCCCAACAACCTAAGTGCACAGGCATGGTGTAGTTTTGTATTCAAAGAACAAAACATGAGGCAAACATTTCAATAACTGGGACTATATAAATCTGTGTTGTTGCAGTTTGTAGACTCCGCAGAGCGCAGCTGTTCAGTGAGAGCTCTTCAACAGGACTTGGAGGAACTGAAGAGTGTTAATGCTTCACTGAGAAAAGAAAATCAAAGTCTGAGAGAACAACTCAACGCAGCGAGGAATGGTAAGAGAAAAAAACATGACACGCACCAAGATTGGGATTAATATGTTAAATTAATTCCATCCATCCATTTTCCACCGCTTATCCGGGGTCGGGTCGCGGTGGCAGCAGGTCAAGCAGGCCGACCCAGACCTCCCTCTCACCGGCAACATGTTCCAGCTCATTCTGGGGGATCCCGAGGCGTTCCCAGGCCATGTTAAATTAATTGAAAACACAAATTAAAAATACAGTTTACATCACATCTATAGTCTCCTAATCTTTTAGAGTAATTAACAGACATGATTTAAATGTTTTTACATGGCAAAATATTCCCATTCATAAAATAAAAAAATGTCTTCCTCTGTGTGTTAGGTGGGGAGAGTGTGCGCGGTCGGTCGGTGCGTCCCAGCTGTGATGCAGAGTTTGCTCGTGCTCTCAAAGTTTTCTACCACAGCATGACCTCAGTCAAGGGTCAGCTGCAGCGTCTGCGCAGACACAGGCCCAGTGTACGTATCCATGTCTGTCTGCAGCATTAGTATTAGTGAGCATTACAACAAGAAGGCCTTTGATAACCTGATTTAAACCTTTGATAGCAGTAAATCAACACAGATCTACAGAGAACAATGCACAATCAGGCACACAAATTGAAGAAAGGTTTTAGTAAGATTACAGTGAGCGCCCCCAGAGTAACTGGTGGTGATTTAAATACTTTTTCTTCTTAAGTTGCTTAAATCAAAGATTTTCCTTTAAGCTTGGTATGTTCGAAATGTGATAAAACAGGGAATTTTAAAAATGGTCATTTTTTCAAGAGTCAATAAGAAGTTTTCTATGTTTGAAATCAGCATTATATTATTTAGAATCATTCCAAGTCATTTATTTTTTCTATTTCTATATTTTTGGTAGCTATCTGGAAAAGTACCAAGTAGAATTAAGAGTGAGCTGCTAATATTACGCGTATGATAACATATGTATGGTTAACTTGTTTTAAAGTCGTGTGTTCCTGTTGTTTCCAGGAGGAGTCCGACCTGCTGGGGCTCAGACTGTTTGTGGACGAGCAGAGTCGCCTGCTGAGGGACTTCTCCGAACAGCTTGAGCAGAGCGTCTCCACACTCAAACAAGATGTAGCCGCCATCGTCCGCCGGAAACGAGAACGATCGGGAATCTGGTCTTGACTGAGTAACCGTTTCACCGAAATTTCCAAGAGCCATAAGAGATACTTCATGTAAGTTTACAGATTAAGACATCAAGGAAAACAAAGATGAGTCACATTTGACACAATTCCAGTTCTTTTTTACTGAAGGAGCAGCCCTTACTTTTCCTGTAAAGGAGGTGGTGTTCAGAAGCCTTAACCACTACACCATCACCAGGTGTGGTAGCAGGATTAGTCGGCAAGAATAAATACACAAGTTTAATATTACCAGAATAACAAAAGCTCTGAAGTCTATAAAATGTTTATTAGACTGCATGTAAAAGACGTCATTGCAGTCCCAAACTGCAAATAAATTAAATGGCAAATACAACTCAAGTTTCAAAATTCACAATATCATATATTTTTTTTTACCATAATTGACAACATGTCATATTTTCAAGCGACTGCATGACATCAGAAATGAAGCAAAGAAAGCTCTTCTTCCTCATGCCTCACTGTGCGGGACTAATATTAATGATCACAGACTCAGGTAAACTAACAAGAATGAGATATTTAATAGCTGAAAAGGAGAGATGTCCTCTTGAGTTCAATGACAGTGTTTAACACATCATCTCACATTGTAATGTTCAATTCAGAGGTAAAAGCACAACGGTTAATGTTTGTAAGCAGTCCCGAATTGCAAGAGTACAGACAGTTGCTGTAGGTCCAAAAAAAAAGATGAGCGTGGGCACATTTGCAGGAGGAGAGGCAGAAGGCAGATTAGTCATCAGATAGGAAAGAGCATCTATATACAACAGATATGAGGGCAGGCAACTGACGGTAGGTGGTTGGTCATGAGAAACTTAAAAGGTGTAGACGGGACACATACAAACAGACAGGTAGAAGAGAGGCAGCGGTGAAAGGCCAGCGAGTTAGCGAGGTACATTTTAACTGAAGAGGTAGACTGGAAAAAACTAAACTGTGGGAAGGACAGAGAGCGAGCTACAAATATCCTCTGTGTGTGTGTGTGTGTGTGTGTGTGTGTGTGTGTGTGTGTGTGTGTGTGTGTGTGTGTGTGTGTGTGTGTGTGTGTGTGTGTGTGTGTGTGAAGGCAGAACCCATGTGTTAATTTAAATGCGTTTGATTTGGGTTACATTTTACAGAAGCTGAGATTGTTCAGAAATAAGCACCATCGTTTTTTTACTTAACTGATACGCGTGTGTGTGTGTGTGTGCAGGTACAGAGGAGGCTGAGGTTACAGGTGAGGTAGGTCAATTGGGTCTTTAGGGAACAAAACACAAACTATAGAAAAACATTTACAATATACAGTGCACTTCCTGTAACATTTACTTAAATGTAAAAGGTCAAAGAATGTAGCAATTTGCAAATAGCAAACATCTCTTTCTACAGTTTCACTGCCTGTAGTCTGCACCTCTTTAGGTAAGTCTGAGTTCTATGTTTGAACAACGAAACAAGCAAACAGCATGTACAGTAGCGGTTTTGGTACATATCAAGTACAGTGATGAAAATTACATTAAAAAAAAAAGCACTTACCAACCTTTCAGCCGTGTGTGTGTGTGTGTGAGAGAGAGAGAGAGAGAGACAGATTTCAGAATAGAAGCACTTTCATTTTTAAAGTGCACTCCAGTCTATGCAGCCAGGAGGCTTGATTGGAGTGATGCATGTGTACCTGAATCAGCTAACTCTTATCGGTACTCTAATTCCGTTTATCTTTTTGATTCTATGACATAGATTGGCTGACAAGTGACCGAACACATGCGCTGATTAAATTGTCATCTTGCTTTTGTCCGAAGCTGCCTTCTCCATCTGTAAAGCCAACGCCTCTATGCAGAAAGGGCAATGCTTTCATGTTTTTGGGAGGCCAAAAAGCAGTTTGAGCTGAAATAATTAAGTGTGTGTCTAAGTGCACACACACATTATTCCAGCTCATTTCACCCAATCATGTCCGTTTAATGTCAGCGTCTGAAACAACACCTTTACATTCTGTGTTATACAAATAACTCCGCTCCCTCCATCATACTGTCTCTGTTCACCACTGGAGGGGAGAATTGAAGTTTCAAACATATATTACCACTTGTGTCTCCGTTTTTCACTAATTCTCTCTCACACACACACTCACTTAATGAAGCTTTCAGCAGCAGACAGACAATTTTCACAGTATAAAAATATTCACTAAACCACAGAGAGGTCCACGATTTCACATTAAGCCCATATGTATCGGTCTTTGACGCCACACAAAGATAAACATTGTTAAGAGCTGCAGTCGAGAGCAAACAGAAATTGGGAATAATCAAGTCAAGACTGAGACTCTAAGTCAACTTTTATGTGAGACTTTACCAAGAGATTGGGCAACTCAGTTAAGATTGTTACAAAAGCAATACTCGGCAGTGTTCACACATTTAATGATATTCATCTAAGTCCTGCAAGACGGTGAAAGATCATGATTTTGGAAATAACACCAACATAAGTGTTCTTGTCCATGAAGTATGATGACTTCTTCTTCCTAGTTGTTCAGTGTTTCCTGTCCAGGGCTAGCTCAATCCAGTCACAACCGGAATGATTGATACCTGAATAATGTCTGAGGAGATTCTTGTTGGCTCAGCCTGTTTGAGTCGAGCATTCAGGAGTCATTTGCCGTGTAAATAAAAAAAATCGCAAACAAACTTTCAGCTTTTCAGTGAACCTATTAACTGAATCTGAGAGTTCACCGACTGAAATGTGTTAGCCACACTGCTAACAAATGATCATTAAGGAAATAACGCCCACAATCACCACCACAGGACTCACTGGTACATTCTCCACCTTCATAGAAGAAAACACGTTGACACTAAACAGACGGGTGTGTATCAGCAGAGGGCACATCTTCCTTTAAAAAGGCGTCGACAACATCTCCTCAGGCACTGGTGCCTTCGTTCTCAGCAGCTTGGCCGTCACATCCTGTTGTTCCGTGGGTGATGAGGGTTGTTGGGGCCTCAGCTATGTTTCGCTGGCTGCCGTGCCTTGAGCCGTCTAACTGATGGAGGCTGCTGTGAGTGGAGAGCGGGTGGTCGAGACGTGGCATGCTGCCATGGAAGCTGCGTTCCGCCGTCCCTCGATAGGCCATAGAATCACTCCTGAGAAAGGAGAGGCAAGGTTGAGAAAGTCTTAGTTTCATCTAATTCACAGCTTTTGACAGACAAAGAGGAAGTCAATGGATTTTTTTTTTTTGCTCTACCTGTCGTCACGAATGCGGCGCAGGCTGCCGTGGTAGCTGGCCTTGCTGTGGACACTGCTGGCCTTACTCCTGGTGGACGTGGGGTCGGCGTGGTGGGTTCTGATTGGTTCATCAAGGTCGTCTATGACGGCCAAGTGGGTGGAAGAGGCGTGGGTAGATGTGCCCTAAAGGAGGATGACAGGTCAGACAGATATAGTAAAGTAAAGAGTGGCATTACACTCTGGGACAGAGATTTATTTATTATCATTATTTAGGATTTTTGTTTTAGGCATAACTGTTATGGTATTTAACTTTCTTTTTGATTCATTTTGTGACACTACTATGTCTCTTTGACCTATTATATGATTACTATATACTGTGACGTTTTTTATGACATACTATACTTTGATATTTTTATACACTTACTATTCTACGTTTCTTATGACACGGCATACTACACTGACATTTTTTAATCAGATTTGTATTACATACGAGACATTTTTTATGACGTACTGTAACCATTTTATGGGATACTATATTTTGATTACATTTTTTATATTTTTATGAAATACTATGCTGTGACATTTTATTATGGCATGACTTTTTTTTACGACATACAAGACTGACATTTTATAACTTTTTAATGGCATACAATAATGACACTTTTACAGCATACTGTACAGCACTACAAAAAATAAACATAAGATTCTACGACTTGTTTTTATACCATGACATACATTATTTTGACATTTATGTTTGCACATATAAGTGGGTGATTGTGTGTTTGAAAAGTCATAGCAGAGTATGTCAGGAAAATATCATAGTATAGTATATCGAAAAACGTCACAAATAATGTCTTAGTATAGTCTGTCAACACATGTCAAAAAGATCGTAGTGAAGTATGTCATAGTATAGTATGTCAAGAAAAACATTAAAAAATCATAAAAAAAAAAACATAGTATTGTATGTAGAAAAAAAGAACATGGATAAAAACATATTTTCTACTCGTTATCCTTAACTGTTTATTGGATTCAGGGTCGTAGAGGGGCTGGAGCCGATCCCAGCTCACATTTACACCTACAGGCAATTTAAAGTCATCAATAAAGAATTGTTATAATATGTCAAAAAATGACAGTAAAAACTGTCATAGTATAGTAAGACATTAAAATGTCATTGTATATTATATTATAAAAAATGTCTTAAAAATGATATAGTATCTAGTGAAAAAGTCAGCACCGTATGTCGTAGAAGCATATCATAGAGTAGTATGTCATAGAAATGTCAAAAAAAGTAACTTAAGTAAAGTCAAAGTATAGTCGGTCATGACAATGTCACAAAAGTGATAGTAAAGCATCCAATACAAATGTCATAAGAATCCATGGTATAGTATGTAATAAAGATGTGTTGGTATAGCATGATAAAATGTTTCATAAATATGTGTCATAAAACATAAGAACTTCATGAAACAAGTAGTGAAAATATACTAAACCTTCATCGTATAATATGTAATGAAAATGTTATAAAAAATGTCTTATTAGAGCATTTATTAATGAAAATGTCCTAAAAAAAGACATGACATTGTGTTAAAAATGTCTTGGTATAGTTTGTCATAAAAATATCTTTTAAAATGTCAAAGTATAGTATTTCGGCAGACATGCAGGATTCACACAAGTTTGGTTTTGTGTTTTCCTGTTGCTTCTACAACTAGTATTACAATGATGACTTTTGATTCTACTATATCACTGCAGTCCTACCTGGGTGGATGTTCCTCTGGACTTCCTAACGATGGGGGTGTTGGGTTCACGCAGCAGGGATTGGGCAAAATCTGGCTGCTCCTGCAGCACCTGGCGAGACTCGTTCACCCCACTACTGCGGAGAGGAGGGTGAGGGGGCGGGGGTGAAAGGTTTTAAGAATGGGAGACAAGAGGAAGGTGGGCAGTTAAGTAGTGTGTGTGTGTGTGTGTTTGTCGCTCTTCTTACTCTTTGCGTCTGCGTCCATGCAGGAAGCTGGCCCATTCAAAACAGGTCTTCTTGCTGCCCACCCAGAACACAGAGGGGATCCCCACCACCAACATCATCAGATATTTAATTAGGAACAAAACCACGGCTGGTCGGCTGGTCTGCTCCACCTAAAGAGAACATAAATATTAAACACATAATACATACATAAATACAGCCTGGAATGTACAAGAGCTAGAGGAAGAGAAAATATGTATTGTTGCATTTAAGAGTTGAAATGCAGGACACATGATTCCTCAACAGTAACACTGAAAATAAATGTGAAATACTTAGGATGCCACTGGAACTGCTTGCACATTACTAAAAGTATCCAGCAGTGACAAGTGTTTTTTAGCCCTGTCAGCCAGTTTGAATGATGGAAGAGGGGGGTAATACTGGAAAAGCCCAGCTGTTTCAGCAGCTGAACTGCAGTTGGGATGTAAAGCAACCGTGGTCTTGAACTATTCAGTATCTCCCACCAGAGGGCAGGAGTTTACAGCAGTTGTGTAGATTAAGAGGTAAGAACTATTACCTTTTGAAACAAACATTTTAGTAGCAGTATAATGTACACTGTACAGTATATTTAAATGAAAGGTATACAGTAGTTCACTCCTAAGTCATGGTTTCATTTTTTTCAAAGATAAAACTCTACTGAGGAAACCATTAAACACAACAGCTGCAGTGTAAACACAAACCGCTGAGGTTAACAGGGTGATCTTTATGCAGCACCAAAAACAAGCATGAAAATATCAAAGTCTGTTACAAACAAACAATTACAGAGTAAATTACTATTCAGAAAGAATTTTAACACACATCTCCTTCAGACAACTCCATGAGGAAGAGGACTCTTAAAAAAGAAAGGGCGTTGCTTGCTTTTGAAAGAACCAGGGGCCAGAAGAAGTGTTATGTATACGCTTTAGTCTGTCTCGCCCAGGCTGAGATTAAATGTCTCAGATTTGGGTCCTAAAGTACAATAAGAAGACCTGGGCCTTCAGTAGATTACTAACCATGCACAGACACAAAAATGAAGTCACTTGAACTTGAACAATGGCCACAGAATCTTCAATCATCCCAAAACATGCAATTGTACCCTCGTACACGTGCAGACAAAACCCCCCTGGGGTAAAGATCAGATAACACATAGCAATATTGAAATTCCAGAGTTACAATAGGACGTAAAGGGGGTCTCTCTTCATAAGCTCTCACACAAACAGCTACAGACGCGTGCATGCACACATACACTAACAAGTAACATAAGCACTTGCACCTGCCTCTCATAAAGTCTGTCAGAAATGTGTCCGCTAATATGTGACTATTAGAAAACCACTGTAACAGCACTCAGCACAACGATGGAAACATAAACAAACGCATAAAGTCAACGTTTCGATATCTTACAATTCATTTGAGATACGAACAAAAAGCTTTTGTTGCCTTGTGAGTTGAGTGTGTTTTTTGTTCTTTTTTTTTTTGCATTGTGGACATTTCTTTGGTTATTAATTTAGCACCAGACAGTATAAAACACCACTTTCCACAACCGCTACAAAGACGTTATAGAGTACAGGCAACAGAGCATGACTGAGCAGGCCTTGAGAGAGAGAGACACAGAAAGACAGCGAGTAGAGGTAAAGACTGACTGAGAGAAAGAATTAAGTGTGTGAGAACCAGCAGAGTGAAAGAGAGAGAGACGGCAGTTTGTGTGGAGTCGTGAGAGCTGTATTAGCTGAGCTAATGATGCATACTGCTCTCTGCTACCGCTACACACACCTCTCTCTCTCTCTCTCTCACACTCACTCACACACACACACACACACACACACACACACACACACACACACACACACACACACACACACACACATTGATGACTGGGATATCAGAGAGAAAGAAATAATAAAGTCAGACGGGGCAAGAACAGGAACCAGTCAGAGAATAAAACAGATGGTAAACAAATCCACAGGTTATTCAAACTTATTTGAAAGAGGAAACTAAGACAAACAGCAAAATGATTACTCCAACAGTTGGTTGAGAGAATCCATCAGTTACCTGGATTTCACCTGCTATACTTAACGTATGTACTGCTTACTTACAATCCACCATCATATAAAGTGGTTTAGATAATCCATCTTACCTTTGTTTGTTTACAGCACGTCTCACTGTTCATTTCCAATTCTCAGCAATTGCTTCACTGAGTACATTGCTGACTGATGAAAAAGTATAAAAAACTACAAAAATATGTTTAAAGTTACAAAAAAGTGGAATTATCCTTTAAGGGATTGTCCATTCTTGAGTATGTGTGTACTTAATGAGGAGAAACAAAACACTATCCTCCACAGTGGGTAACCGAGTACTTCACCCCTGCTAACTTTGACAGTGTGACGACACACACTATGTGTGAGATCATGGGGGGTTTGCATGAGCTGGATATCCTGTCAAGACTGTGTCTGTGTATTTGTATTCAATGTCCAGCTGAGATGACAGGCAGATCCTAAGAAGCCATCTGTTTTCACACAGAAGCTAATATAATAGCTTTGATGAGCTACTCAACAGGCATATTCATCTTGTACTTATCTGGGGGAATTTACAAGATGATGTCAGTATACAGCAGCCTTGGACCCGTGACAAATGTTTTGCCTTGCAAGCAGCAGAGCAACCTTTTCTTACTTTCCTCTCTCTTTACCTTGTATGGGCAGGGGATGTGATAGAGCTTGCAGTTCTCCTCCATCCATGTTGTCTCCCATATGTTCCGGTAGGTGTGTTCGTACAGGTAGCACCCAATCACAGTCAACAGGGGAACCAGGTAGAGCACAGAGAACACTGCCATTCGGATCATGAACTTGACTAATTTGGTCTGGTTCTCCTTCTCCAGAGGGATCTCCATGCGCACCCGATTCAGAGCCACAATCCCCACCAACAGGAGAGACACACCCACCTGAAGGCGGAAAGACCAGTTTGACTCAGTGACAGAAAACTAAAATGAGTGTTTGTTTTTCTTACAGAGCTGGAGGACTGTCAACCAGCCACTAATTCATTAACTAATCTATCAATCGCTCCATAATTCCAGTCAACAAAACACTCTTGGTTCATTTCATCCACCCACCCATTAATCTGTTCACCCATCCTACTCATCCACTCTTTCATCCACCCACCCCACTCATTTATCTTCCGACTGTACTCACCGCCACGTTGAGGCAGAGCGGTGCCAGAACAAACCACCTCAGGGCGTCTATGTCATACAGCCCTATGAAACACACTCCACTGATCCCATCTCCTTCAATTTTGTTCAAGGCCAACAGGGTGACAGTCAGGGCCCCTGGGACCCCCCAGGCAACAGCATGGAAGAGGAGGGCTTTCTTCTCAATGGCCTCGCTGCCCCATTTAGGCACAGCGGCCAGGAACCAAGTGATTGTCAGTATGACCCACCATACGCTGCCGGCCATGGTGAAGAAATATAAGACCATGAAGAACAGGGTGCATACCTGAAGGGGAGAGAGAGAGAGAGTAGGAACAATAACTTGTAATCAATAATGTGTAAGAAGTCATCAACTCGTTAAAAAGAGAATTTATGATCAATTAAACTCTGAAGTTAATCATCTAATAAACATCTTACTGGAGTTAATAAGACCTACATAGTAAGCTATCACATGTTTAAGAATGTTTCAAATTGCTACAGTATCTAAACAATAAATAAGACATTGTGGAACGTTTATAATGTAAATGGATAATCAGTACATCATACAGCAAACAGGCCGCGACATGTGTGATGCTATTGCGGTGACTCTCACCTTGTTGTGTGAGCCCTGTGTTATGGTTGAAGCTCTGAACTGGGACGGGCTGACTGCATTGCACGCTACCCTGTCTTCCAACAGGAACCCCAGAAAGAAAACCAGTGACACCATGACGTAACACACGGCGTAGAAGATTATTGGCCGCTCAGGGTAACGAAACCTAAAAAAAAAAAAAAACATAGAACAACACATTTCCTTTCCACTTACTTTTAAAAATCTATTTTACAAGTGATTCTTGTGCTTCCACTTAAATGTGTCTCAATCATTCTACACGTCATATTTCTGTTTTCTTGTGATCAGACTCAATGAATTGATATAAGATATCATACAACAATCATCCATTCAAACCTGGTAACATCGATGAGAAACGTCAGGAAGGTGAAGAGCGTTGCAGACAGACAGACGACGGAAACAACTCCTATGAAGTAGCGGATAAAAGTCAGCTCCTGCTTGTTGAAAAACATTGAGGGACACGGAGCAGAACAGTCCTTTTTGCCCATGAATGTGTAGCCCAGGTCTGGATCGACCTTGAGCTCTCTGGGGCACCAGAAACCGTAATCTCTCTGGACAGTCATGGGCGACTGGTCAGTAGGATCCGTGCCTGTTAGCAGGTCCTCTGGACGAGGATAGGGCTCATCACAGTCTGGGAACCTGGAAAAGAATCATTTTGTTAGATCATGCAGCTTAATCTGCTATCATTTTAGCTGAGACCCTTATTGATATAAATGGGGTGGAGATTATATCAAAAACACCTATTAGAATAACTAAAAGCCACGTCAACAGCACTGGAAACAGCATTTTCCAAAATGAACTTATAGCTGAGGAAACACTTTAAAAAAATAAAGTCAACATTGTAACCTTCATGAAGGTAGGATTTATTGCAAGACTGTTATATTCGACTGAATTAGTTTCAGCCAGGTGTACCTAATAAACTGGCAATCAAGTGTAAAAACATATACGTCAAAAAGCTCAGAGAAAAGATATTTAGGACAGATACCAGGAAGGTATTTTGAAAAAGGGAGAAAGGGAAGAAGATAAAGAGGAAGGGGGGCTGCTGTATGGAGACACAGGAGAGGTGACTGTCAAAGAAAGTGATAAGAGTGACAAGGTGCTGAAGTTTACTGTTCGGTAGGCTTGATGTGGCTTTGCAGTTGACATGAGTTCAAAGAGAAGCAGCAAGCAAAGAAGCGGTGCAGATTTGTATATGCAAAACACGTTTTGCAGGCTCAGTCTTGTGCAGATATACAGTGTACGTATATTCAAAATGAAACAAACCGAATATTACCATCTGTATTAACTCAGATTCAACACCCTGTTTGTGATGACATTGTTTACATTTTCACATATAGAGTTGATTTTTAAAATGTAATACACATACACACCTGCTACATTCCATGTCATCTGGCCAAGTTAATCCAAATACCTCCATGAGTTTGTGGCACTCGTCCTTGGCCTGCTGGCAGAGGGATCGACATGGCATGGACACCTGGCCGTACACAGTGCACACCGGAGCGTACAGAGCACACAGGAACATCCTCAGGTCAGCGCTGCAAACTAGGTTCACCATGGGATGAAAAGGCTGTAGAAGAGAGAACATTATTTTAGTTTTTAATTTATGTTTGAACCTGCCGCAAACACTCGAAGGTGTGACAGCAAGCATTGGCTAGTGCAAAATAGTGCATCGTAGTCATACAATGGACTCAAAGCTCTCTCGCAAACATCCACACATTCTTTCAATGTTATATCCCAATATCAGCAGAAACCAGCTTGACAAGGTTGTTATCAAATCAGTCATGCATATAGGAAAGGAGGTTAAAGTTAACTGCTATCCGTGACAAATATGAGAAGGTTCACATGTAACCTGAAATAGCCATCAAAGAGGAAGGAGGGAGTGCCAGAAGGAGGACAAATGTGTTCTAACTCCTCGGCTGCAACTTATACTACTCAGTATACCATCAATATTTAGAGGCTCATGAAATATGTATAGCAGCAATCATATTACCAAACATCCCTTTGAAGTAGGGGACAGCAAAGACGGTTGAGCCACAGCGATACTCTACACAAACAAACAGACGGGCTCCCCACACGCTAAAGATTATCAATTCTGTCCCTGCAGTGGTACTCTGAGAATGAAGAGTCGGGCTTGTGACCTTCAGGACGCTAAAAAATGTGAGTGGTGGAAAGGACATATAGCTCCCTCAGCGAAAAAGCTTGGTAATCGAGCAGTTAGCGCATACCACAGAACCGCAACGTCGGCAGTTTGATTCAAGCGAGCCGACTTTGTTGCATCTCTCTTGGCCCGCGTTTCTTGTCTGCCTCTTCACTGTTAAGCTATTGAATAAAGGCAGAAATGACCGAGAAATAATCTTTAAAGAAAGCACCCTTGGTGTTCTCTAACAACTACTGCTGACTTAGCCCTGAACGAATACTAGATCATTTAGTGTGAGCGGTTCTATTTTATATTCTATGCTATACACGGCAATACAGCCGCAATGGATCAATTGTGCGCAGTACAGTAACACTTCCTTTCTGTTGATGGCTGCTGGCTACTTCTGCTCATGCTGACAGGTGAATTATTCATCAAGTTGTTCTTCAGAAATTAAACTAGGACTTTAATCCTGAAAATGCAGTGTGACATTTTAAAATATGTACAGAGATTTGTGAACGTGTACACGGATTAAAAACTGTGTGAGCAGCTCTCAGTTCTCCCTTTCAAGTCACAGCCTGGTTTGTGAATTTCATATGAAAAGAGAACCACTACGTTTTAATGAGGATAAGTACCAAGAGACATTTAAAAAGACACATTTCTGCTTTTGTGCAATATGCATACCCAATATATTCAACATATCTTAGTGATGTGCTCATACATCAGCAGCAGCCAGCATCATAATGCGCACAGTGCGCTTTTAGGGTTATGTGTGCAAAGTGACCTGCATCTAATGAGCTATTTAAAATTTCAAATCATCCAGCTTCACTAAAGCGGAGTATTGAATGCAGCTTTCACAGGAGAAATCAGAGCAGAACCATGACAGCGAAGAATGGAGACTAGAACAATGTGTGTGTATAAAATATGTGTACATGGGACACAAAACAGTGCACTTACATTGATCGCTTGCCACAAAAGATACAATATATGCTTACAAACTGTATGAGTGCATTTGTGCAAATACCCATGCATCAGTGACTGTGTGTGTGTGTCTTATGCATGTTTCTAAGTGGAGCCTAGCCTTGTGAGTATGTTTTGATCGTTCTCAATTGCCGTGTTCTACATCCGCACATTGGAGAGATGTTCGACCAGTAGATGGGTGCAGCGGTGCATGAGCGGTGTGACATAGTTTTGAGTTTTGCACGGAAACACATATACGCATGCACACACATGCACACACATCACTCTGCTCCATTCAATAATTCACACTTTTTACAACCCTTGTGTTTTCCTTTTTCTAGCTTGTGGACACGCAAGCTTCACTGTGTAGTGACGGGAAGCGCATGAGCTTTGATCGTGGACTAAACCTCCTTCAGGATGCCCCGCAGTGCAGCCACTATGTTTTGAATACACAATTATGTTTGGCTAATAAAATATTTAGTAATAAACCCCTCCCACTATATTGTAGTCCAGTAAAACACCATCTTCAGCTATGACAAATATAAGACATAAACATCAAATTTAATGTAGACAACTCACCCAAAAGGTTTTTTATAAACTTTGTGAAAGTAGACTTTATGGACGAGGTGTTGTATTTTATTCCATTAGTGAGTGTACCTAATAAAGTAGCCATTTTGTGAATAACAAATTGTGTAAATAACAAATTCAGTGCAGTGGCTACAGTACCATTACAGAACAGGTAATGATATCAGTTAATATGTGACATTGTCTCAAGTAAATGTATATGTGCCTCAACACTTCATCCTAGACTTAATAATGTAGTGTTAGCATGAGTACAAATTAAGAGACAACACTATCATTGACATCTGTTATGATGTGTCCAATGTGTCTGAAAGTCTTCAGTTGTCCTCAACAAAAACAGATATGGGCATCGCTCTGAACAATCTCTCTGTCCTCGTCTGTCAACCTCTCTCCCTCATACTTCTGGTCCGAGCCCGAGGCCACACTTAACTGAGTAGTAGTTTTTTCTCTGTACAAGTGTGACTCACTGCCCAGCAGAAAGAAGCCTTTCTTCATGTCTCCTCGTACTACCTCTACAGCCAATATGTGTGCGACTCCCATTTTGTGTGTCCCCATTCTGCCCATTTCTCCCTGTGTATGTGGGGTTACGCATGTGTGCATGTATGTGTGTGTGTGTGTGTCATTGTTCTTGTATTCTGGGTAAGTAATATGTCCCAGTTATCGTGTTTCCCGGTGTGTGAGTGTGCAAGGCTTGTGTGCATGCACAAGTCATGCACACTGCATGTGTGCAGATATCCGTGTGCAATTACTCTGGCAGTCAGGGCAATTGCCCCCTCCATCTCCCACCAGAAAGAGAATATTGATATTAAGTGGCCTAACTGTGCCACCCAACGAGAGAGGAGGGGGGTGGGGGTGGCAATCAGCTTTTCATGGAGGACAACCAGAGTGAGTTGTCTGGCATTTTGTAGTCAGTTGAGTTGGAAGAGAAGGGAAGGAAAGCAAAAAGAAAAGCCCTGAGGTTGCAGACTGATACTAAAGGATGGAAGATGTAAAAGAAGGAGATAAGAATGTGGAGAATATGTAGATGAAAGGGGAAATGTAGTGCATCAAGTTCCAGCACAATTTTATTGTTCTTTTGAACTTGGCTTTCATAAGCAGAAAACAAAGTACTTTCTGTACCAGCATGCGGGTGCGCAAGCAAGGCCCTTCACTTACCATCCATCCAAGTGGCCACAATTTACCACTGATAGAGCAGAGCTGCTGTATGGTAAAAATACTCCGGTCCTGCAAGCTCTTGGGTAACTAATGATTGTTTATCCTCCACAAGAGCTCTCTATAAATCTCTACAAAAGATGATGATTGGTGTGTATTTTACTTTAATTTTACATCCCCACACATTAAAAAAATGTCTCTCATTGTGAAGACAAAATGCAAAGGGCCATCTGACAAGGTGGTCAACAAATGCACACGCACATTTAACAGATTAAATGCAAAATGTGAGCTATACTTCTCTTTTGAAGTAAAACTCGGATCAAAACTACATGATAAAAAGTCAAAACTATTAAGTTGAAATTGAAAAAGATCTAGCTCAACGAAACCTTCATAATGCAGATAATACAATCTACAGTCAAAGGCCATCATGCAAACCAAGGTATCTAAAAGAAACCCATCATGCAGTGCTCCAACTTGACGTATCCCCCACATAGCTTTAAAATGCTATGAATGGTGGCTTGACCTCAACCCTTTGGCAACCATATTAGTGAGTCAGCCAATTCAGAGAAACATTTTAACTTCACAAATGCGTCCTTCATCAGTGCCCTGATTAAGAAAATAGACTTAATGTACCGAAGGTAATTTGTCTTATACACATACAGTACAGTATCTGCTGTATGAAAAATACAAAATAGCATTGATAGGAAAACCTGGTTGTCTCTCCAGCTGCAGTGAACAACACATTTCCATTTGAAACCTACTACTAGATATCCATAAAAAGGCTCTACAACACAAATACTTGTGGGTTAACCTACGACATTCCATATCAACTAAGAGAGGCATTTGTATATGCGAGTGTTTGATTTGGGAAGGCAATTGTGAGAACTCGGAATAAGAAACAGGGTGGGTTTTTGACACAGAGGAAAATGAGAAAAAAAGACCCTGACTGGTCCACCTCTTGTTCAATAGAGGGATTAAGTTTCTTTCTCTTTACTCCCCGTCTCCAAAGAAACCTAGGGGGAGGGAGAGAGAGAAATAGAAGGAGAAAAAACCTTAAAGCTAAAAAAAAAAAAAAAAAAAACGACAAAGAAAAACAGAAATAGCCTAAACACAGACAGAGGAAAGAGTCCTATGATTAACAGTCACGTGATGCAAGCAATTCCGCTTTAGATACCAATAACCACTGTCAATTTGATAGCAAAAAGAAAGCAGTACATACATAAAAGCACAGGGGGTGTTGCATGTAAATACTTTTTACACCAACATTTTCCTGGTTGAATAAAGTGCCGGTTTAGCGGGTGTGTTGGGGATTGAAGAATATATGGAGACGATATAACAGAGCGCTGTTGCATATTACATCAAAATCAGCAAGCCTTTTAGCTCGAGAAATGCTTGAGGTGAAATTTTGGCCATCAGCCACGATCACCTTTCTATGGCTACTCTTTCCTACCGAAGAAAAATAAATAAATTAACAGTTGATCTCCAAAATCCACAATTTTCACTTAGCTTATTACACAATAATAAAACATTAGGGAATTATACATCGATGATAAGTTGTGAGATAGATGAAAGTTGTTTTTTGGTTTGCAACTTAAGGCTTTTACAGTTAACAGTTCTGCCCATAATCAAAATTGGCCTATCCACAAACTCAATTGATGGCTGTGCCAAGCAACACCCAACAGTCTGATAGCCCCAACTGATTATCAAACTAATTACACTTTCTGTGCTCCAGTCCTCCC